TATATAATATATATATGTGTATCGTCGATCTTAAGGAAGTCTATTAATTAAACAAATTTAATAGACGACAAGAAGAGCCGACTATAAATAAAAAATTATATTTTAAATTTTACTCATTCATTTTTTCGCATTTTTATATACAATTTTACTGTCATCAATCGTAATTTACATTTTACAATTTTACGATTGGTATTATTATATTTATCCTCTTAATATAATTATATATCGTATAATTTTTTTCAAAAGAATATTCGATAATTGTTTCATTAAGACCGGCGATATCATAGAATAATTATCAGAATTCATCTTTCGCGATATGTAGCTGTGCTTTTCGAAAAGATTTTGTCTGCTTTTGCACCTAAATGTTGTATACTTCGCATATAGCTGTAAACTAAATTAATATATTTGAATGCTTATTTATACTTGTAGCAACCGTTTCGCACTTTCGCGAAAAGTACTGGATCAAGGTCATCGTAACTTTTTCCCTAGGATGAAAACGTGAAAAATGAAAATTGTATGTATATGTGTACATTATTATTATTATACAGTACTTGAAAGCGTATCTTGCTTAATAAATCACGCGATAGATGATGCTCGAGCAGAAAATAAGAAAATAGAAGACAAGAATGCTTAAAGTATAAATGCAAGAAGATATAATAGGAAAATGCAGCCATATATGTATATACATATATAAAAATTTTCACTTTTCACATTTCCGTTTTATAAAAAAAGTTACATGCTCGATACGATAAGAATTTCTGGGTCCGCTTTTATTGCACTTACTATAACATCACTTTCTTTTTTCCGTCTTACGAAATTTATTTTTTTAAAGTGTAAATAAGAACGGACTTAATGAACATGCTTTTTACGAACGAAATGACGTGCGCAACGCGAATCGATCACGATTTTCTTAAATTGTGACATGATATAAGGAAAACAGACCTTAGGTCCCTGTGCTCTTCTTCGCTGCACTGTCTTAGACTTTCTATAATTCAAAATAAAATAAATGTATACACTCAGGCCTTGAAAAAAAGAAGAAACTTAAAAAAATATAGAAGCAAAATTCTGTAATTCCATTTATTTTTCGCTTTTCGTAATATTTTTTTAACAATCGATAATTTATCGTCATATAGAAACAGAAATATGTAAAAATCCAGAATTTTCTTTGACTATACGATAAATTTTTGAAAAGGGGAATTTGAATTTTGCTTTTGTATTTTTGAAATAAAAACGAAATTGTAAGTGCAGTTAGAAATGACGAGTTTTGTACATCACAGTACACTTGCGACTTATAATTACGAAGAACATCCAAACAGGATCTCACACCATGTATTATATATGTAGCTGTTCTTAAATATATAGAGTTATGACATAAACGATTATTTACATTTGTGTATACATTCTTTTTTCTCTCCCTTTCTCTCGCTCTCACTTCATGGAAAAAGAAATACAAAATCGTGTTATATTTCGCACGAAAACTTGTAGTTTAACATTTCCGTTATTACTCGTAAATTAAAACATACTTCTACGCGTGCTTCTATGTCGCATGAAGCACGCAATGTATATCGATATACGATTGTATATATGATATTCGATAACGAGTGTGTTTGGTGGAACGTTACATCTATTTGATAACAGAAACTCGCCAAACGCGCTACTATTATCACCTTATTTTAAGTAACGATCATGCATACGTTTTGCAAATTTGACACCCAGACTCAAATTTATGAGTTTATTTTCTTTCATATGCCTCTGTGTATGTGTGTGTGTGTGTGTATATATGTACAGCATCCATATATATATATATATATATATATATATATATACATACACATATATATGTATATATGTATGAGTAGATGTGTGTATGTGTAACAAGAGTTACCTTTGTATATCGTTCTATAAGATTATGAAGACAATTAAGTAATCGAACATAATTGAGTGAATTCTTGGAATTATACATATCAAAGAATCGCGTCCGAATGTGAGCGGTCGCCTCGCGGAAGTCCTAACTGGAAGAATAAATGAATGGACCAAGTATCCAGCAACGCGCTGCGTTGCAGCTAAACCTAAGTTAAATATATCACATAGCTTCATATAGTAAAGTATAAAAAGATTAGAATATAATACATTTTACTCGACCAAACGGAAATTCATTGGCGGAGCGCGGCTCTCGGTAATGCCCGCTAAAAAATATCGCCGCGTGAATCTTTTCTTTCCCCGAATCATCCCCGATGTGTTGTCGATGTGTCATCATCATTGCGCTCTTATCACAGACGTCAATGTTGCTTAAACCTAGAGAATTGATTTGTGCTGCCTTACGTAGCGGACATAAACATGTCAAAGGAAGAATTCTTAAACAAGTTCTAGATCTTACGCCGCGTTGGCGATTTCATCGCATGACCTTGTCATAAGAGGGTGGCGGCGCTTCGTCCGAAGATGCAAGTGGCGGCTGTGATGGCGGTGGTATCAGGATAGCGATGTGATAAGGTGGTGGAGGCGGCTGCCTCACCGTCGTCGTCGGCACTGTCGCCGTCGCTCTACTGACAATGCTGTCGCCGATGCTGGACGCGTTTGTCAGGGCAACGATATGATCCTCCTGTATACGAGCATTATGTTCTGACCGACTACTATGATGGTAATTTCTTTCATGAGTGTACTTGCAGAAGATCGAATATAAACAAGCGGACAATAGAAATATCAGTAGTCCGCAAAATACGAGTATCTCCAGGCCAGGCCCCTGTTAACATGAAAAAAAGAATTAATTAGAAAGTATAAAGCAAGAAGACAACAGAAAATTAAAAGGTCGCAAAAAAGTGGCAATTCTTTAGTGATGCAGAATTTTGAGATAAAATCTTGAAATAAGAATTCTTTCTAAGTACAGATACTTACCCGATAACCGAAATAGAATTTAGCAGCCGCTACAAAGACTGTTGCTAAAGCAAAGGTAGACCAAATCCCACAGCGCAGTCGGAAGCCGGCCAACTCAGCCTGCCGTAATTCAAAAACGCTTCCTGTCAATAGGCTTCTATTTCGTTCTGTACCATTCACGCCGGTCGTATTAGACAGAATTAGTTGATTGTTGCTAGCGTCGGTGACATTGCTGCAAACAATGCGTTAAGCCAAAAACGATTTAATACCGCCATAGTGCCATGTATCTTCGTACTAAACTCAAAGCTGCAAATCGAGGGCGAATCATTTATAAGTAATCTTTCTGCTGATAGATATGTATAAGTGAGTCACCCTGTATATAGGAAGAGCATGTTCCTCTCAGAATGTCTCCTTTGTCTTAGTGTAGACCTTTTTGTGTTTTCATTAATTACTTGGGGATGTTGTTCAGCTGAGCGAGTTGAACGGTGCTGAGCGATGACGAACCGTGATGATGGTTCTCGTTGTTATGGATTCGCGCAGACGTCGTCGAACGAGCGAAGCTCCGACAGGAGTTATTGACATTACTAGGTCCGGCTGGAGATGCGTTTCCGGCTGCGAGATTACCTGCAAGGCCCTGGAATTGATGCACAGCACTCACCATTTGCCTATGTTGGCCGCTGCGCCGACATTGACCTGCAAAAATAATTGATAAATAAAATGACAAAAAATAGAATAACGATAAGAAAAATAAAAAAATAGATATTGAAATTTTCCCTCGTATAATGTTGTCAATTCTTTCATTCATTTATCAGATTTACCTTTAATTAATTCTACAGAATTATCTGAAGAAATAATTTCTAAATTTTATTTTGAGTTTCATATAACAAAAATAAAGATATTCTATAAATTTTGAGTATAAAATATTGATA